CCCTGCTCGGCGGGAAGCCTGCTTCTCCCTCTCCCACTCCCCCTGCATGTGTTCCTGCTCTCGCTGTCTCTCTCTGTCAAATAAATGAAATCTTAAAAAAAACAAAACAAAACAAAACTCTAGGATGTACTCCATGGTGGGCAGTTCTAGTCTGGGCCTTCTAATTAACATCAAAAAGATCCTGCATTCCCAGTCACTTCTCCCCCAAAAGCTGAGAGGCAGGTCTTTTTTCTGTCTCCTTGGTGTGAGGCCAGGTCACAAGCTCCTGGCAGGGCAAGGGTGATGAAATGCCTACACTGGAGGGACTAAAGTAGCATCCTATTTTAACTTATTAGAGAATGAGCCCGAGAACCTTAGAAGATGGTATTTCTTCCCATGCCCTGGACCGCCATAGCTGGTGCGTAAGAGTCTCTCAGAATTAGGTTACAGATCTGTAGGCTATCAACTCAAAGCAACATTCTCCCAGGAGTCAACAATCCTGGGGGGCTTTCCTCTAGATTGGAAATGGTTACTGTTGCCCCACCAGGAAAAAAAAAACAAAACCAGAAACCTAACCACTGTACTGATTGGACAAAATCAACTATCTTAGCAATGCTAATAGCATCTATATGCATTTAATTTCCTAGGTACTTAGCAAACAGGCAGCATTCCTTGAAAGCAGTCACAACTTTATCCAGAGAGGCTGGGTCCTGGGTGGCAGAGGAATTCCAAAGGCCAGATCCTCCTGGCTGCTCACTTCTCCATTGGTCTTTTAAACACTCAAAAGAAAAGCTCCTACATTGGGCCAAGGGCCATGGATGGTCCCCAATTTTTACCATTCTACACAAAAAGAGAGAAGGGGGGAAGAAACTCTTAGAAGTATTGCAACCGAAACCTCTGAGAAAAATTAGATTAACAAATTATTAACATTACTTCAATTAACAGTATTTGAATACTACTTTTCAAATTAGAACAGTCACTGTTCTAGGTTCCCTGTCCGTATTAGCTTATTTGATTTTTATCCTATGAGAGAAAAATCCGTACGTCCATTTCACAGATGAGAAAACAAACCCAGAGAAGTCGAATAACTTGTCAAAGATCACACAGCTGATACGAGTAACAGAAGGGCAAGGCTTCTAACCCGGGCTCTAAATCCCATGCTTATTCTACCTCTAAGGGGTTGGTTCTCTTTAGAGATTACGCTTGATGTAAAGCTCTCCCCATAAGGAGGAAAGGAGGTTTGTAATGAGTCTGCTGGTTAAGGTTCACCTTGGGTGGGGCCAGCAGGCACTCCCATAGGACGCCCATTCTTGGCTGCTGCTGACCCAACATGATGCTCCTGGTGCGAGTCAACCCCTTGTACACACATGAAACATTATTTAGACTTCCACGACTAAAGAAAACTTTATGTGCAAAATAAATCATGGGATTTCAAAATAGAAATAAGCCACGTTTTCCCAGAATGGTCATCATAGTGTGTTAAGATCCTCAGCGGGCGGTGTGCTCGCTGGGGAAGTCTGCAGAAGTGAAATGGGCACAGAGAACGCTGAGTCTCTGCCCCTATCCTCAGCTCTCTCTGCCGCCCTCCTGCATCCTTTGCCTTCTTCATCCTCTTTATTTTTCCACTCTTCTGGTTACGCTTCCCCCCATCTCTCCCCCTTTCCCTTCCTCCCGTTCTCACTTCCTTAGGAAGTCATTTCTCTCCTTGCTGCTCTTTTAACCTCTCTCTTCTCTGGCCCCCTTTTCTCTTCCCTCATCACCTTCCTTCCTTCTAGCTCAGTCCCCTTGGCGCCCTTCCCCATCAAAGTTGCTTCTTAAAGATACATTCAAGACCACACTAAGCAATGCCGGCATGATTATCCAATACAAATCTAATGAATAGTCCTCCCAAGGGAAATAAAATAGCACCAGCCTCACTTGCCTTATCTCTGTAGAAAACTGATTGGGTTATGCCTTGAGGCCTGGGGGAAGGAAAGGAGAGATTTGCCTTGATATGGTAAGGCTAGAAGGATCGGACAGAACCATGTTTACATTCAACAGTTCTCCCCAGGCCTGACCTGGGTCCTAGATCCTCAAACAGCCTGGGAATTGTCATTACAATGACTGGAGTCATATCCATGGAAGTTTATAATGTAAAGGGACCTTAAGGGCATCTAAATTGTTTTTCTTTTTTATAGCTGAGGAAATAGAAGGCCAGGGAAATTAAGTGATGTGTCTAAAGTCACATAGATGGTCAGTGTTAGGGACCCAAGTGGTGGCCATTTAACAATAGGAGGGAGCAAAAAACCAAAAAAACAATAGAAGGGGCATCCTCTAATCTTTCTCTTTTGATTGGAAAACAAAAACAAAGAAGCCTGCAGCCAGGACTTGAAGATCCAATGGCCGGGTCCCGGCTCTGCCCTGGGCATTCCACTCCCTCCCAAGCCCACTGACTCACCTAGTAGTCAGGGCGGGGCATGCTTCTCTGGTGTGCATAGGGATTCGGTGGCTGACTGGAGACATTTGCCCTGATTTTAGGGAAGATGCTCCCATCTGCTCCGAGATTGGTGAAGCCTGTCGTCTGCTGCAGTCTCAGGTTTTGAAAGTCATTCTCAATCAAGTTCTGTTCTTCAGTATTCTTGTTTTTGTTCCTTGGGCTATAAATGGTAACAAGAATTAGGATCTGACAATGGCAGAAAGTTCCTTGACGCAAATGTTAGTATTCTTTTAAAAAAATATTTTCAAATTCTGAAATAATTTCAAATTTACATATAAGGTACAAACCAAAAAATTGCACAGAGCTTCCATGCATCCCTCACCGAGATGCCCCAACTGTTAACATTTCTGCACCATTAAGAGTAAGTGCTCAGCCCTGATGCCCCACTACCCATAATACTTCACTACTCCGTTCAGTGTACATTCCCTAAGTTTTAGGACAGTCTCCTCATAAGCTCTCCGTAACCATCAACACCAGAACATAAACACTGATCCAACACTGCCATCCAGTTCTGTTGGTCTCATGCAAATTTTGCTAATAATGTTACTATTCTTAAGTGTGCTTTTGAGTTATATATGAAAATAATCATAGAAGTCAAAGAGAAAAGACGATCTGTGATATAATTTTTCATTCAAGCAAAGTCAATGTCTACAGAAGTACCTCAGCCAATAAAACAAGTTCAAGGCATAAAGATCTTACAAGGAGAAAAAGGCATTTCCCAGGGTCTGCTGTAGCCCCTCAAGGACCTCAAGTGTAAGTATTCAAGGCCCAGTAGAAGCACTTGGAGGTGAGGGAGGTACCCACCTCCGATGAATCCTGACAGTGACCCTTCCTGCCTTCTGGCCCACAGGCCTGCCCCTGCAGTGCCCTGGACCGCTGGAGTGCAGACTGGACCAGCTGCATCTGTGCTGTCCACAATGCACTCCCAGGATGACCGTCTCCCACCGGAAATGTCGTAAGGGAAGACCCACTCACCCTGTGACCCCAGTAGCCAGCCTAGCCTACAACAGAGTTCTCGCCTTTTGGGAGCACTCCTGTCTAAGGAGAGGAGGAGAGGAGCAGAGGAGAAGCTTCATTCCCTTTGAAATGGTCAAGAAATTGTAATTCTTTTTTTTTTTTTTTTAAAGATTTTATTTATTTATTTGACAGAGACAGAGATAGCGAGAGCAGGAACACAAGCAGCGGGAGTGGGAGAGGGAGAAACAGGCTTCCCCCCGAGGAGGGAGCCCGATGTGGGACTCGATCCCAGGACCCTGGGATCATGACCTGAGCCAAAGGCAGACGCCCAACGACTGAGCCACCCAGGCACCCCAAGAAATTGTAATTCTTGATGTGTTCCCAAGAATCAGAATCTGAGGCTGAACTAGGAGCAAACCCAGCTCTGCAGCAGGAAGCAGGAGCTGAGAAACATAGCTGTCGTGAGGTCACAAGGTTCCACACGCAGCCGCTGAGGATGCTGGAGACCCAAGACAGTTAGGCAGTCCTCCTAAGGAAGGAGGAGACAGCCTTGCTCCAGAACAGAATGTTCTGGCCATCTTCCTAGAAAAGGGAAGGTCATACTTCTGGTTCTCAGCTTTGCATCCTTATAATAAAGGCTTTGGGGAAGAGTTAATATCAAACTGGAATAATAAAAAAGAAAGAAGAAACAAAATCTATTTATCCTCTCACATTATAGTGCGAAAATACCTATTCTGCCAAAATATAAGATATGAGTGAAATGTTACAAACAAGCAGCTTGTTTTTACCAAAGTGCATCCCCACTTGGCACATTTCAAATGGAATAGAGATAACAGTGTTCTCTCTCCCTGTTAATGGCGGGAACTTTATCATAAACCTTAACAATATATATATTTTTTAACACAAAGGGCACCTGAGTGGCTTAGTTGGTTAAGTGTCTGACTCTTGGTTTCAGTTTAGGTCATGATCTCAGGGTCGTGAGATCGAGCCCCGAGTCGGGCTCCATGCTCTTGGGATTCTTCCCTCTGTCTCCCCTCCCACCCCCGCATGTGCTCTCTCTAAAACAAGCAAAAACCAAAAACAACAACAACAACAACAAAACAAACGCACACAAAGGACACAAAATTATGTCTATACCATCATATGGAAAGATATATGCCAAAATGCTAGTTGCCTCAGGGTGGTTAAGTTTTGTGAGTGGTTTTTTACTTGTGCTCCTTTACACATTTTTCTGTTTTCTTCATAATCACGAATGGCTTATATAAGCCAAAGCAAATTAAGGTAAGAGAAAAAGCCAACAGTATTAGAGGGGTCTCGCCTCATCTCCCTTCTCTTGCCCCAGCAAGGCTAGGTATGTTTTGAACCTGGAGCGTGATGCCGGTGGTGCCAAGCCCTAGGGAAAGGGATACGTCCACTCCATACCTTGCTAAGAAGATCAATGCAATCACCAGGCAAAGAATGAGGGCACCGCCAATGCTGCCCACAACAGTGAGGATCAGCTGAAATTCTGAAAAGGAAAAGCAGAGAGTAGGCACAGCCTCCCACAAGCAGCCCCCATTCCCTACTGCACAGGTACATGTGTTCCCAGAGGTTCCTGGCTGTGAAGACAATCAGGTTGTGGTCCCCGCCCCCACCAGGGCCAGCTTGGGTGCCAGGCTGGGGGGGTACTGTGTCTTCAGAACCCAACCGGAAGAGGCTGCCTTGCCAGATAAAAGACCGTAAACAACAGAGGCAGCCGTGATGGGGGGGTGGGCAGGGCCTTCCTGGGCTCTGCGGACGATGAGACATCAACGGAGGGGAGCATCCCATCCTAACCTCTGCTGCTTCTGCCTGCCCACCACGTCTGACCTTGCAGATAAGCCGGGGGAACGAGGCTGGAGTTAAATTTGTCACTGACAGAGGCTTCATAGAATCAGTGAGGGGGAGAGCTCGTGGCGACCATTCTCTTCCTCTAGTCTGCTCTGGCTGGCACTACCGAGCCTGGCCAATGTGGCTACGAGCTGGCCTGTGCGGACGGCACCCACGGCAGATTTCAAACACACGGTATGAGAAAAAACAAACCTAAAATTTCTCATGGAAAAACACTTACTGATGACATGCTGAAAATATTTTTGATATATGAAGTGAAATAAAATGTTATTAAAATCAAGTTCACTTATTTCTCTTTAATAAATGTAGTTAGGATTTTTAAAATTTGAAATTAAATATGAAGCTCCATTACATTTCTATTGGACAGTGCTGTTCTAGAACCCTCTGTCTCAGATTTCTGCGTCATGACTGCCATAGAGGCCACCTCCAACCTGGATTCATAGGGGTGTAGACCATGCCTGCAAAGGGATTTGGTCCAAACCTCTCACTCTGTAGGTGTGCATGCTGAAAGCCCAGAAGGAAGGAAAGACTTAGCAAATCCAGCCTTGCAACAAAATACAACAAAGTGAGAGCATTTTTCATCACTAACTTTGTGGCTGGCTGAGAGGCCAACAGTAATGTTTCCTTCATCTCGGATCATCAGTCTTTAGTTCATTATGTAAAATTTAAAATGTAATATAATTAAAAATATAAAGTTAGTATTGTCCCAATCTGGTGGGGGTGGGGGGTGGGAGAGAACGAAAGCACCTGAACTTGCAACAACACATCACAAGCTAGTAAATGGCTCGGGGACCCAAAGACTTGAATATTTCAACGGTTTTTAGTTCTGCTCTCCCATGACCACAGACATTTTTGGAATATACTGGTCTTTTATCCTTGCTAGTGATAGAAAACGAACAGAATGTTAGGACGCCCAGAGCCCACCTCTTGGGCTGGGTTCTGTTATTTTCTATAACGGGGTGCTGCTGCCCAGGGTCTGAAGGCAGGCATGGGACGGCATGACCCAGAATGCAAACTGCGGGCAGATTGTCTCGCTCTTTATGAAGGGAGCCAGAGACTTTGGAGTCCTGGGCAGAATTTTGAATGTGTTCCCTATTTCTCAGAAGCTTAATAACAAAGCAGAACTTTTATACTCACTGTCTTCACAGTTGACTCCGCTGTAGCCAAATGCACACCTAAAATACAATAATGGAAACCATGGTACAGTCTCTGCGGGGAACATGTCAGAGTTCCCACCCAACCGCCATGTCTTCCTTTCCATCTGCCTTCATTCTACCTGCCCCCCCTTCTCCTTCTCCTCTTTCTCTTTTCTTCCTTATGCTCCTATTCTTCCAGGTGAGCAACTTCCATGGAGCTCTGGAAGGCTGAAGAGGGGACACAATTCCAATTGGTCCCATTTCCTACTGACTGAACCCCCCATCCTCTGAGCTTCAGGAAGATCCAGCAATTCAAACTCAGCAGAAGCCCAGAGGCATGGAGCATTGCGGGGTGGGGGAGGGGGCCTTGGCTGCAAGGCCCCATGGCTCTGCTACCTAACTGCTGCCCTGTAAGCTGGGGTTTGTTATTTACATTCTCTGAGCTTCACATTGCTCCCTGGCAAACAGGGAACTAATTCGTTCCTGACAGTGTTGCTGTGCGACACGTATTACCTAGCACGGTTCCTAGCACACAGAGAATGTTCAAGAACCATCAGTGCTGATGACGATGGTCTGATGGTGCTCTTATACCTACCAATGTATGGCAGCATTCCAACATCCTGACCCTAAACCCATGCGTTTATCTATACGTTCTATCCTTTGGCTAGCTCCCGTTGTGGTAAGATGAAAAAGGAACGACTTCTTACTCTTGACAGACCCCATCATCATCTTTCTTGTAGCCTGACAGGCACACACATTCAGGGTTCCCGCCGCTGTTATTCACTAAGCACTGCTTATTGTTGTCTGCATTGCAGGTGTCAGGACACTTTACAGCAGGAACTTCAAAAGAAAATTTCTGAGTTATTTGCAAAAACAACCCCTTCAACCCCAAAGTGATATGTCACAGAACACCATTTTTTAATACTGCTTTCTCTGGGTCAAGTGGGGGGCTGCCTGGCTGCGCGCACGGCACGCTTTCTGCGAAGATGCGCACGGGCTGCCTCGCCAGGTTCGCGTGTCTAAAGCCCAAATCCACCCCCCTCAGACTCTGGAATGCACATGGAACCCTGAGCAGTAAAGCTTGTATTTTGCAAATGAAAAAGGAGAGAAGGTAGGCATTGCGAAGAACACTTAACAAGCAAGTGAACACTCACCAACACACACAGGGACCTGGGGGTTAGGTCTTTCCATCCCCTGCTTGCATTTACACAGCAAACCATCGCTACAGTTGTCTTGCTCATTTTCCTTTTCACAACCATAATAATCACACAGAGTTTGAGCTGAGAGGCACAGACAATTCAGAAATACGGTCAGTGAGACAATAGGGAGAGGAATTAGGTCAGTGTGATAAATAAATGGTTGTTGTTTTAGGCCACTAAGCTTGGGGGTGGTTTGTAACACAGCAAGAGTGGATTGTTCCAGCTGTGCCGGAGGGCTGGCGGGTCAGCCTAAAGGGGAAACAGGGCAAGGAAGGCTTTCTGGGATCATCTGGAAGCTACAGCTTGGTATAAAGCCTTCTTGTTTCTCCTTTCTTCCTACCTTCCCACCTTCCAAAGAGAGGAGCAAACTGGTCAGTGTGATGACATGGGGGGGCGGGGCGCGGGGATGGCTGGAAAGGAGTAGAACCAAGCAAGGGAGGAGAGGGAGGAAGAATGCCTGGTTCACTGGAACTGGGCCCATCTGTGGATTCAAGTCTCCTGCTCTTCTTGCCCCCTTCTCACAGAGAACGGAAATGTTTACAAAAAGGTAGGTCTTCGGGCGCCTGGGTGGCTCAGTTGGTTAAGCGACTGCCTTCGGCTCAGGTCATGATCCTGGAGTCCCGGGATCGAGTCCCGCATCGGGCTCCCTGCTCG